GCAGTGGCGGCTCCCGGCCACTGCAGCTTCGACCTGCTGGGCTCCTGCAATCCTTCCGCCTCAGCCTTCCAAGTAGCTGGTACTACAGGTGCACGCTACCACGCCCGGTAAACATTCTATTATTTTCGAACTCATATATTCAATCATCCATTCACAAAAGACAAACAGAGCATCCTTAACTCTCTTAACCTAGAAACAATCTATACCATAAATGCATGCACCTATGTGTCTGATATTATATTGGGTATTGTTTTGTACATACAACTCACACTACCCTAAAGGAGAATTTTAGCTTACAAAGAGAAATGAAAATACATGAGAGTACAATATATTTATACAGGGCAAGTAAAAAATATATACCATGCAGGCACCAGTGGGGGAGAAGAAAAGTGATGAAGTTTAAGCTTTGATTCTGGTATTCTACCACTGGCTTATCTGAGGCCTGCTCAGAAACAATCAAGGGAAACTGACCATTTTATTTATTAGTGGTTTGCTGTTGAGGGCACTAATTTCTATGTGATCCATGTAATGACCTGTCAAATAAATTTCTTCTGACCTAAATGATACGAAATCTTTTTTTTTTTTTTTTTGAGTCAAAGACTCACTCTTTCACCCAGGCTGGAGTGTAGTGATATGATCATGGCTCACCGCAGCCTCGACTTCCTGGGCTCAGGTGATACTCCTGCCTCAGTCTTCTGAATAGCTGGAACCACAGACATGTGCACTATACCTCACTATTTTAAAAAATTTTCTGTAGAGATGAGGTCTTGCTGTGTTGCCCAGGTTGATCTTAAACTCCTGGCTTCAAGCAATTCTCCCATCTTACCTCCCAAAGTGCTGGGATTACAGACATGAGCTATCACACCCAGTCTTGAGTCTAGCTTTCAAGTTATCCCAGCTTGGGGGACATATATGGGAAGGAAGAAGCCTTCAGATGATTCCAGGTCCCAATCATTTGAGTCTTCCAGCTGAGGTTCCAGACATCAAGGTAGGCAGACAAGCTGTGCTGTAAAGAATTAACAACATGTCTGGGTTGTCCACACAATGTATATTCTGAAGAAAGATTTAGCCGTTGTCTGTTCCTGGGAGGTAACCTCTAAGTCCTTGGAATATACTGCTTGATAGGAGTGTCTTTGTCTACCAGGAGCCTTGGGCCATACCAGATATTCTTTGCTAGCAATGTGTGGTGGAGACCTTGGGTCACCCTGTAGCAGTTTGACCTCTGAAGTGGTTGGAGACTAAGCTCACCACTCATGTGGTCAGCCTTACCTATGTGACTGAATCCAAATAAAATACCTCAAGGGAGTTTCCTTGGCTGGTGTGCCATACCTGCTGTCACACATCATTGCTAGGAGAATTAAACTTTGACCACATGACTCCACTGAAAGAGGACAACTGGATGGTCTCACATGGCATCTCTGGGACCCTGCCGTATGTACCTTTCTCTCTTGCTGATTTTGATTGCTTTCCTCTCACTGTAATAAATCATAATCATGAATGTAATAGCTTTGCTGAGTTTGGTATCATTCAAGCAAATCACTGAACCTGAGGGTGGTCGTGGGAACCACAGAACACATGATCTATTACCATATCTCACTTCCTGACTCACTGAATCCATGAGAATCATAAAAAAAAGTACACCACTAGGTTTTGGAATGGCTTCTTATATGGCAACAGACTAACTAGAACAGGCAATACAAACACAATGATGTTCTGATCCACTATAAACTGTATATACAATGATGGTCACATAATACTATAACCAGCTGTAAAATTCCTATTACTGATATTGTAACCATCTTAATGATATAGTGCATGTCTTTTTTTGTTTGTTTGTTTGTTTGTTTTTTGAGTTTGAGTCTCACTCTTATCGCCCAGGCTGGAGTGCCGCAGCACACTCACAACAACCACAGCCTCGACCTGCTGGGCTGAGGCGATCCTTCACCACCATGACTGGTTAATTTTTTTGATTTATTGTAGAGACAAGGTCTCACCATGTTTTCCAGGCTGGTCTCAAACTCCTGGGCTCAGGCAATCCTCTCACCTTGGCCTCCCAAAGTGCTGGGATTACAGATGTGAGCCATTGCACCTGACTATAGTGTACATCATGTGTGTATGGAGATGCTGGTATGGACAAACCTACTGCTCTGTCAGCTGTATAAAAATATAGCACATAGAGGTTGGGCACGATGGCTCAGTCTATAATTCCAGCACTTTGAGAGGCCAAGACGAGAGGGTTGCCTGAGCCCTGGGGTTCGAGATCAGCCTGAGCAACTTGGTGAGATGTAGTCTCTACAATAAATTACAAAAAACTATCAGGGCATGGTGGCTTGCATCTGTAGTTTCAGCTACTCAGAAGGCTGAGGTGGAAGCATCACCTGAACCCAGCAGGTTGAGGCTCTAGTGGCCATAAGCATGCCCCTGTACTCCATCCTGGGTGACAGAGATTCCAGCTCAAAAAAAAAAAAAAAAAATAGCACATACAATTATGGTCAGTATATAATTCTTGTTAAATATATTAAATGGTTATGTTACTAGTTTATGTTTTTACTGCCTTATATTTTTATAGTTATTTTATAGTATTTTTATCCTTCTACTTATTAAAAAAAGTTTACTGTACAATGGCCTGAGGCAGGTCCTTCAGGAAGTGTTCCAGAAGAAGGCGTTGTTATCATAGGAGACGACAACTCCATGCAGGTTTTTGCCCCTGAGGACCTTTCAGTGGGACAAGATGTGGAGGTGAAAGACAGTGACATTCATGATCCTGACCCTGTGCAGGCCTAGGCTAATGAGTGTGTTTGTCTTCACTTTTAATAGAAAATTTTAAGAGTTCAAAAAAATTAAAAATAAGAAAAAGCTTATAGAATAAGGATATAAAGAAAGGAAATATTTTTGTACAGCTATACAATGTGTTTGTGTTTCAACTAAGTGTTATTATAAGAGTCAAAAATTTTTTTAAAGTTTAAAAGCTTAAAAAGTAAAGTTGCGCCAAGCTCGCTGGCTCAGCCTGTAATCCTGCACCTTTGGGAGGCTGAGGTCAGTGAATTGCCTGAGCCTGCAGGTTCGAGACCCACCTGGGCAACTTGGCGAGACCGCATCTCTACAATAAATAAAAAATTAGCCGGGTGTGGTAGTGCGCGCCTGTAGTTATAGTTACTTGGAAGGCTGAGGTGGAAGGATCGCCGGAGCCCAGCAGGTCGAGGCTGCGGTGGCCAGGAGCAGCCACTGCACTCCAGTCTAGGCGACAGAGTAAGACTCCAACTCAAAAAAAAAAAAAGTAAAGTTGCCAGACATGATGGTTCATGCCTGTAATCCCAGCACGTGGGAAGGCAGAGGCAAGAAGACTGCCTGAGCCCAGGGGTTCGTGACCAGCCTGGGCAAATTGGCGAGACCGTGTCTCTACAATAAATCAAAAAATTAGCCAGGCATCGTGGCACATACCTGTGGTTCCAGCTACTTGGAAGGCTGTGGTAGAAGGATCACCTAAGCGCAGCAGGTTGAGGCTGTGGTGGCCATGAGTGTGACCCTGTACTCCAGCCAGGGTGACAGAGTGAGACTCCAACTCAAAAAAAAAAAAGGTAAAGAAGTTACAGTGAGCGAACATTAATTTATTATTGAAGGAAATATTTAAAATTTAGTTTAGCTTCACTGTACAGTGTCTTTTTTTGGGGGGGGGTCAGAGTCTCACTCTATTGCCCAGGCTGGAGTGTAGTGGTATGCTCATGGCCACCACAATCTCAGCCTGCTGGGCTCAGGGGATCCTTCCACTTCAGCCTTCCAAGTAGCAGGAACTACAGGCGTGTGCTACCATGCCCAGCTTACTTTGTATTTTAGAGACGAGGTCTCACCAAGTTGCCCAGGCTGGTCTCAAACCCCTGAGATCAGGCACTTACCATTGTGTTACAACTGCCTACAGACTTCAGTACAGTAACATGCTGTACAGGTTTGTAGTCTAGAAGCAAATAGTAGGCCCTATCTATAGTCTAGGTTTCTATAAGCACACTCTAGGATGTTTGCACAATGACAAATTGCCTAACACCGCATTTCTCAGAATTTATACTTATTGTTTTTATGTTTGGTTTTTTTAAATCAGAATCTCACTCTGTTGCCCAGGCTGGAGTGCAGTGGCATACTCATGGCCACCGCAGCCTTGACCTAGTTGGCTCAGGTGATCCTTCCACCTCAGCCTTCTAAGTAGCTGGAACCACAGGCATGTGCCACCATGCCCGGCTAATTTTTTGATTTATTATAAAAACGAGGTCTCACCAAATTGCCCAGGCTGGTCTTGAACCCTTGAGCTCAGGCAATCCTCTCACCTCAGCCTCCCAAAGTGCTGAGATTACAGGCTTGGTCCACCATACCCAGCCTATACCTATGGTTAAGCAACACCTAATGCCACATTTCTTGGAATTTATACCTGTTGCTAAGTAACACATGACTACGTTACAGACAAGAGTTCTCCTCAATTTATTAACTACTTAGAACCTCATGGGCTATAATCTGTGTTCTAACTTGAACCTATCTGTTTAATCATACGATTCACATATTTCCATTGAAATTTAACCATGGAAGCTGGGCTCGGTGGCTCAGCGTATAATCCCGCTCCTTTGGGAGGCTGAGGTGAGTGGAATGCCTGAGCCCGCAGGTTTGAGACCCGCCTGGGCAACTTGGCGAGACCTCATCTCTACAATAAATCAAAAATGAGCCGGGCGTGGTAGCGCGCCTGTAGTTCCAGCTACTTGGAAGGCTGAAGTGGAAGGATCGCCGGGGCCCAGCAGGTCGAGGCTGCAGTTGCTGGGAGCAGCCACTGCACTCCAGTCTGGGTGACAGAGTGAGTTTTCAACTCAACAAAAGAAAAAAATAAATTTAACCATGGAGTTGATGCTTAGCCTCCTTTTTTTTTTACTGAATTCTGACACTTACCTATACATGCTGTGCCTGTGTCTGGCAGAGTAGTTCTCATAAATATAGAACAACCATATTATTCCTTTAATTATACGTATTACCAAACCTCCTCAAATTCACTGTAAAGCCAAAGGGGGAAATCAATATATAAATCTAAAACTCACTTGGAACTTGGACATTTTCTGGCACACTCAGCAACAAACAACAGCTCTACTATTTGTTTTGTTGTTAGCTGGGCTCTTCCCTGAAGCTAGTCTCTGGTCAAGGGTGAAGTGCTGATTTTGACAATTTCACTTCCTTCCCGAACAGAAATTATTTTATCCGAAGAAGCCAGGACCTGAGAATTAAAGAAATTCACTGCTACAGTAAACTGTGATTATAACAGATGTTCTGAGATATGTGAGTCCTTATATGTATATATGTTTTAAATACACACATATGTACATATAGTTATCTAAAAGTTAATTGTGTCTTCTTCAGGTGGTAGGTTACTATAGTAATTTAAAGACAAAAGTAATACATATTATTAGATGGTTGGTTTTTCAATAAATATATGATTGCTATATAGTAAACACCACCAACGAAGTCATCTTCATTAAATTATGAAATTTTGTCTAAACTATAGTCAAAACAAAACACTCATTTAGAAAAAAGACAGTTATAAAAGGAAAGGGGACGAAAGAGAAAGTTTTTTTTTTTTTTTTTGCGTTGCAGTTTCACTCCGTCACCCAGACTGGAGTGCAGTGGCCGCTCCCGGCCACCGCAGCCTCGACCCACTGGGCTCTGGCGATCCTTCGGCCTCAGCTTTCCGAGTAGCGGGAACTACAGGCGTGCGCTACCACACCCAGCTGATTTCTGATTTATTGCAGAGATGAAGTCTCGCTGCCCAGGTGGGTCTCGAACCTGCAGGCTCAGGTAACCCACTCACCTCAGCCTCCCAAAGGCGCGGGATTACAGGCTGAGCCACCGAGCCCGGCTAAGAGAAAGTTTTAACGCTGAAAAAAATCCAGAGAAACAGATATAAAAAGTAGAATATCATTTGCTAACCTGTGTCAGGTACCTACTATATAGTGCTAGATAATTTTACTATATGGGTAGTTATGATTAACTTTTTTAAAACAAATGGAAAATTAATCTCAGAGAGGTTAAGAAACTTGCCCAAGTTCACACAATAAATGCACAATCCAGATAAAAACCTGGGTCTGCCCAAATCCAAAATCCATATTCTTTTCTCTGATTGCTTACCTAGAAAACCTACAAGAATCAATTAAAACTTATTAGTAATAATAAGAGTTCGGTAAAGAAACAAAGGAGAAAATATTTTTTAAAGTAACTCCTTTTGTATCTGCCAAGAAACTCAAAATAATAAAAAAAGTTCAAGTGGAGAAAAAAGCCATTTGTAATAGCAGCAAAAGCATATATACATTCCCATTGTTATGGGAATAAACATAACAAGCAACGTCCAGACCCATGTGAATATTTACCTATGTCTGGTCTACCCAAATTATTGCAAAGATTTAACATAAGCTCAGTCAATATTGTGTGGTAATTCACATACATAGTACCACGCAAATGTCAACAAGAATGTGTACCAAAAGTCAGTAATAGTGGAACAATTTTATCATATACGATTGAAGCTTTTTTCAAAAAAGCAAATTATAAACTACGTATTGTGTTATCACATCTTTATAAAAATCAAATCACATAGAAATATGGAAAAGGAAATAAAATTTTAACAACGTGAGGCCGGGTGAGTGGCTCACGCCTATAATCCCAGCACTTTGGGAGGCTGACGTGAGAGGACTGCCTGAGCCCACGGGTTTGAGATCAGCCTGGACAAAATGGCAAGACCTCGTCTCTACAATGAATGAATGAAGACCTCGTCTCTACAATGAATGAATGAATGAATGAATGAACGAACGAACGAACCAACAAATAAATAAATAAATAAATAAATAAATAAAATTTAGCCGGGCGTGATGGGGCATGCCTGTGTTTCCAGTTACTTGGAAGGCTGAGACAGAAGAATCCCTGAGTTCAGCAGGTGAAAGCTGTGGTGGCCGTCACCGTGCCACTGCACTCCAGCTGCGTGGCAGAGTGAGACTCCGTCTCAAAAAAAAAACAAAACAAAACAGAGTGAGACTCCGTCTCAAAAACAAAAACCAACACACACACACACACACACAAACAAAAACAAAAAAAAAACAAAGCACTTTTCACTGTGGAGACATTGAAAGGAGGGAGGCACTGGGAGGACAGAGGAAGTGGGAAAGCAGGTTTTGAAGAAGGCCCTAACTGTCAGTGAGACTTTAAAATCCCAATGCCTTCCAAAACTCAAAAGACTTCCGAAGTTCCATCCCCTATACATCTCTTAGGTACCCACGCCGGCCCATGTCATACCTAAAAATACAGGTGCAAGGCCACCCCTTATCATTCTAGTATTGAGTCCTACAGGTCAATTATCACTGGTCTACCAAGATCCAAACACCTAGATCACCAAGACTCTCAGTGATCACTGAAGGCCCTCAAAGACACGAAACAAGGCTGCCCCAAACACTGAGCTATCCCACAAAACCTAACCTCAAGTTATCCTTCTCTGGTCCACCCCGATCTCTGATCATCTCCAAGCCTACCCATTGCCTACCATCCCCTTCCCCCACAATGGCTTGCACCAGATCTCCACAATCCCAGCTTCTGATTCCGCCCCACGAACGCGAAACTGAGACCCCTGAAGAGCCTTAGCGCACCAACTGGGTCGCAGGAGACACGTTCATCACTTCTGCTTCAGGCTCCACCGCACTAGCCAAATTTAATCTCGGTGGCCTCGGAGTCTGCAGGCCTCCACCACCCGGGACTGATTCGCTTCGGCTTTCGGGTCTTCTAAACAAAGACATCCTGCGATTGAGTAATGGCGGCGCCCGGAGGGCCGACTTATGTGGAAGCCGCCATCTTGGAAAGTTGTCCGTACAACCTCTTTCCCACTCAAGATAACTTGTATTTGTCCCGGTTGAGTCAATCGTCCGGGTCGCAAACAGAGATGCGCATGCGCCAGCCCGTCTCCATGGGACTGGAGTCCCATCCCCTTCGACAACACGTACCAAGCCCGGCATGGCCAACTCCGACTCGGCGCGTGTACGTACAAAGAGGCACAATTTTACAGTGGGCACATCCGTACAGAAAGAGTGCCGCCCTTCGAGGTGGGCAGCAGGTGAAACGACCTCCGGGAATGCTGTTGGAAAATAATAGGGTTTGGAGATCGTGGTGAGCACAGAGCAAGCAAAGCTAGCTGAAGGAAGAGGTCTCCCCCAGGCAGGGTTAGTGATGGGGCTTGGGTGACATCTCCAGGGTGAAAGATGAAGGGCCGGTGGGGTGGGCAGAGCTGATAATGAGGGCGGGGCCTGTAGGGAGGGGCTAACAATGAGGCCGGGGCCGGGGGGACGGAGCTAATAATGAGGGCGGGATCTGTAAGGCGGGGCTGATTATTAGTGTGTAGCCTTACTGTTGACCTGGTTAGTGGGTAGTGAAATGGGAGGGTGGTGACGATAAAGGAAATAACAAAAGCACAGAAAGTGTTGGTAGAGATTATTGAGCAGACTTTATTATCGCAATTAAAATGTTTTCGCATATAATTTCTACTGAATACATTTTCGAACTGGAATTGCTGAACCCAAGGTAACGAAAAATCTTAATTGAGTGGATAATTACAGATTCTTGTCCAAAAACGTTCTATTGATGAATACACTAGGCCGGGCGCCGTGGCTCACGTAT